TAGCCATACATATAATAAGGGAATTAGCCATATATGTATATATTATACGTGTAATAAGTAGTAAACTAATTTATTATAACTGATTACAAATTTAGATTTCGAAAAGTCTACAAAATAATAATTATACTGCATAGCATTCTTAGTATAAAAATAAACTTACCCATTCGAAATGGCATACTACTATACAAAAATTGTCGGTAAAATTTAAATATATATCATTCGAAAATTTATCGATAATAATATTAAACTAGTATTGTCTAAACTCTTTTTGTTCCCGTTTAAAAACCRGGAATGGTTGGGAACTGTACAATACTGACACCCGTTCCTGTATCATTTATTTACTAACATAGCAATTWATACTAAWTGTCTACACTCCATTGTATATTATAATTCGACGACACTTGTGTCATGTGATGTATAAATTGAACTACCAATGTACTTTTAGCAAAGTAGGTATTATATCATTATATAAATATACAATTATTATACTCACGAGTACTCCAATCATAGTGAATTGGTGAATATATATGATATATATAGTATTAGAGTTGTCTAAAGACTGCTTCAACGGATCCAAACAAGTGCGCGCAGTCGGTCCGTTAAGACACAATAGTTGTGACTAACAGGTAAGTTAGGTATAAAATGAATAAACTTTTTCGCGATGAATCGAAAACGTTATTGGGTCGCGAATGTACAACGACGGCTGAAAAGAATCGAGTCTAAAAGTCAACGACAAATCGGATGATATAATATTATGATATGTTGTTTTAAATATTTGCGTGTTGAACTCKAGTTGTTATCCTGYGGAGATACGACAGTGAAGTATACGTTTGTCGTGGACGTGACAGTTATTTATACGAAAGTCGAAAGATTTAAGATATCCCTAAGCGAGCCGCCATCGCCGCTGCAATAACCACCTTCAGCACCCACCACCCACGGAATCACCGAAAATACCACAACCAACGACACACGTGAGATACACAATACGCGATAGAATACCATAACGATAAAATATTATAATAGGTGTTATATTAATAAAATATAATAATTTACGTAAATCCGCGGTCGTTGGTCAATGTGGCGCGCATTTACAATACAAGTATAACGTCATAATAWTACGATCAGCAACGACCGGAACACCGCAATAATAATAATATACTATAAACTTACAATATTTTATTACATATATACCCATTACAGTATTACAGTGGCGTAACTGCGATTTTAGGGACCGTGGAATAAAATCTCCTGGAGCTTCTTATTTTCTTAAAATAAAAAAAATAAAATTCTCTCCTATTGAAATTCATAAAAAGTACAATGATAACAATATTAAGTAATTCATCGACAATAAATTTGATGAAAAAATAAAATATTTGAAATAGACTACATTCGTTTTTGTTCAAAGTGATCAATTAATTCACTAAGTGTAATTTTGGCTATCATCTTTTTCGATCGGGATTAAATCTAAATCTCGAAGACACTCTTGGCTATCAATGGTATTTCTTCAAAAGTTCTTAATTATTTATAGTTTTAAAAACTATCGTTCTGCTCTGCAACATCACTAGATACCGGGAAAGTCAAATACAATATTTATGGTGCGCTTCTGGGAAACTTGATRGTTATTTTATTTTAATTTAATCTACTATACTACTATAGTTTATGTTAATCTTAATCATTTTGTTTTTTAGAGTTGTGTTCATACCATGAGTGTAGTAAAATATTAATACACAAATGTCATTATTATAAATGTATAACAGTGCTTCTTAAAGGGGGTGATATCACCCTCCGGTAAGTGGTGGGCTCGCTTTGAGCGATAAGGGGGCAATATCACTTATAATATGACCGATTTATTCGCAAAATTCAATGACATAAATTTGCAACTTCAAGGCGATTATCTCATACATTGTATAAATAACGATCTAACGTATATTTTTATCMCGTTAATTAAAATGTTGAGAGTTTGGGAAGCCTTGTCATTGAGCTCCTAATCCTCCTATAATGCTACCCTGAAAATTTACAAAAATTTTGCTTTACCTTTTTATACATCAGTCATTAATTAATATATTACGCTCGATTATTTTTTGAGTTGATAAACCGATTCCGCTAAATAACAATATTTATTTCATTAGCGAATAATACACATGACATTATTTTTATTAGAATACAATTAACATGATTACATGAATGTCAATAATGTTCCTACATTACCCAATTTATATTTTTATAGAATTTTTTTTTCAGATTAATTAAAATATATACATTATACCTACATACATTTTTTAATTATTATACAGTAGGCGTCAATAGTTAGTACATTTAAATATAGGTAGGTACTTAATAAACATATTATAATATATAAACAAAGCAATTAACATACAGGCCTAACTTTAAGCAGCGAAATTGGTAGGTATCCTGACCTTAAAATACAAAATTTGTTTGAGGCGCAATCGACCCATGCCTACTATCCAATCTTTACGCCACTGACATATTATTATCATCTACCTGTATTATACTTTTATACTATTACCTATATCCAATGGAAAATCGAAATCGAAATTGATAAATATAATTTAATATAATAAATTATTAATTACATGACTAGTTACCCACTATCTGGCCATAAAGGATGATGATTCATCCTTTTTCTTTGATAATAATATCATTCAAAATTTGATTTCTGACATTTTTGAATTATAATTCAAACTTAATCATAAGTTCCTAAAATTCTCGATATTTTTCTGACTATACATATTCAGCRAATGTTCGGCGGGGATACAAAGTTCTGTTTTTAAAAATATCAATCCCTCGCATTCTACTGTAAATTATTTAGCGGATCATTTTTTGGAAATTTTTATAAACTAAAATTCGAACAAGACAGTATAGTTTTTGAATAATATAACTTTTCGCACTAAGGTTCACGATAAGAGTTTTGGAATATATTTGATTTGGAGTTTAATATTTTGGTGAAACCATTTTTAAAGAGGATCTTTTTTTAGTATAAACGTATCAATAAATGAGGAATACGCATTCAGTTTCAACATTGGAATATTTTTTTAAAAAGTGCTCATTTGAAAATATGATGTTAGGCAGTAATTATCTTTAGTATAAAACAATTCCAAAAATTAGATTTTGAACATTTCTGTTGTAGTATCACCTTGTATATTGTAATGCGATGTACGTGGTGCCCGTGGTGGCGTCGTGCAGTCCGTTTTCGACACGATTTTCAATCTCGCAACGTTCTCTAGGGCGTTTGTCAATAATATAATAATAACATCTAAACACAAAGTATGTACATAACATACAATATAGGCAATATTCTATATAGATCGCGATGCATAACGTGAACAGTGAAYGCCGTCCAAACACATAATAATAYTGTGACCGCGTCACGACCGGGGATTTCATTAATAGACCGAAAACGCGTCGAAACATCCAAACCGACGGCCAGTCGCAATAACGACGCGTGTGTAATTGGTGTGAAACTGGCACCAGTTGCACCTTTGCGCGCGTCGTTGCGCACAATATATTAATAGGTGTAATAATAATAGTAAAAGGCGAAAGATTTTTTCGATTTGAAGGGGAACCGGAGTTAATAATAATATTAATATGTATATTATATTGTATTGGATACACACGGTATTATGATTACACTTAAACATAACAACAGTTAAATTGTTACAATAAAAATATATATCAAATAGTAATGTGCTGTTACTACTTATTAACAACCGGTTCGACCACAAATTGTTTTGTCATTTTCACAAAACCGTATATTGTCTCATGTCTGGCGTGCGCGGACGCTGTTCTGAGATTTCGAAATAATTGTTGTTGCAAAAAAGTCATTCTTTTTTTAGAAAAAAAAAAAAAAGATAATGAAGAATATTATTTCCATGATTTTTTTGTCATCTTCTTTTTATGGCGATATTGTTGATTAGATAACAGACGACTCTATCACAGACTCTTCTATCTTTATCTTAGTCCGTAGTGTATACAGTAATAGTTGTCGTGTACACTAGTTATTTGTTTATTCCGTGACAYTAAATACACTTATCTGTGCACTAAACAGTAATAAACTATATTATAATAAATAATAATCACATTACTCACTATTCATATTATATATGTGGCTAAGTTTTCAAACTTCATGATCATTTGATTTTTCGTAAAGACGTTTTTAGTATAACATAATAGATTATAAATAAGCAATTTTGTATATGGATTTATAGAGTGGTCTAGGAGAGTTTTTGAAGAACATTATGTGGAAGTCGTCAGCTGGAGTTAACGTTGAGATACCAGTCGAGAACGCGGATGATGACTGGGAGACAGATCCAGATTTTGTGAATGACGTGAGCGAAGAAGAGCAGAGATGGGGCTCTCGCACAGTTCCTGGTTCTGGACGTGTATTAGATCATGTCGAGTTGGTTACTTTATTTGTTGTATATTATTGGAGTTTGTATTAATTTCACTTATTGTTATTATTTGTTTAGCATGAGTCAACTACGTGAAGAAGTGACTAAAGCTCATGAAGTTCTAAAGAAAAAAGAAATGGAAGAAGGGCCTCAAGCAGCATTTGGATATGGTGGTAAATTTGGTGTGCAATCTGACAGGTATGGTTATTTTAACAATAAATATGTTTTTATAATATAATATTATATATTTGTGTTTTCGTTAGAATGGATAAATCKGCTGTTGGTCACGACTATACTACACCTCACTTTAAGCACGCTTCACAGACTGACTATAGTTCAGGTTTTGGTGGTAAATATGGTGTTCAAACAGATCGAATTGATAAGGTATTGCCAGTTTTCATGTTTAAATAAATTAATTTGTTTTTAAAATATAATACAGTTATTATTATACGACACATGTCCTTAAAAATGGTTTTATTTACAATTTTATATAATATTTAAGAGTGCTGTGAGTTGGAGTCATAAAGAAAAAGTGGAAAAACATGGATCACAAAAAGATTATAGTGCTGGTTTTGGTGGAAAGTTTGGTGTACAAGCTGATCGACAGGATAAGAGTGCTGTTGGTTGGGACTATGTGGAAAAATTACAAAAGCATGAGTCACAAAAAGGTATGATTTTAAATTAATAGTTTTTAAATAACTAGTTTTTTATTACATTTTTATGGTCAATAGATTACGCTGTTGGTTTTGGTGGAAAATTTGGTGTACAGTCAGATCGTCAAGATAAGTCTGCTGTTGGGTGGGATAGTGTAGAAACTGTTGAAAAACATCAAAGTCAAGTTGACCATAGTAAAGTAAGTCATTTTTAATGAAATATTTAAATTTTAAATTATTAAATTATACAATTTATAGGGTTTTGGAGGAAAATTTGGTGTTCAAAATGATAGGATAGATAAATCCGCTCATAATTATAATGAAAGTTCTGGTCAGGTTGGGACAAATTATCAAAAACAGAAACCAGAGATCAGTATGTATTAAATTACATTTAAGTGCAATTTTCAAAATTCATCTTTTAAAACTTTTAAATTAAACATACTTCAAGCCATTTTCTTTTTGATCAGTAGTTAATAAAATTTTTTATTTTTAGCAAGTATTAAACCATCAAGTCTAAGAGCAAAATTTGAAAATATGGCTAAGCAAGAAGAAGAGGAAAATGAAAAAAGGCGTTTATTAGAACAAGAGAGAAGAAAACAAAGAGAAGTGCAAGAAAAAAAAGAAGCTCGCGAAAGAGAAGAAAAACGTTTAAAAGAATTACAAGAGAAAGAAGAACAGAAACAAAAGCTTCTTGATGGTCCAGAACAAGTTAAAAAAAACACTCCAATTACCGTAAGTGCTATAAATTACACTAAAATAATTTTTAAAAATGAACCAAAAAAAGTGATCATATTTTTCTCAAATATTCAATATCAGTATTTAAAATTAAGTGGAGTAATTAGTGATTCGCTAGTTCTTGAAAAATATCAGTCCCAAAACAAGGTTATATTATAAAAAAATACCATCTCCAATTAGTTTATTTTTATTGTAAATAAGAACATGATTTTTGTGTATTTAATGTAGTTTTCCGAAGTGGTTTGTGAGTAAATATTCTTGGTCAGAGGTTCCCAAACTGTAGTTCTTGATTATACTTTTGATGGGTTATATTAAGTTTAGTAATATTTATATATTATATGTCAATATAAAAAAGATAATATAATGTGTAAGTTTAAACAAATATGATTTAGTATTTTTCATGTAACTAAAGCTTACATCTATGATTAAATGTAATTATCTATGATTATCAAAATTGCATCTGCGACATGTTACCAGATTCTGCTGTTAGACAATAAGTTATCACTAAAATAGTGATAATTGACGAAAAAAAAATTTAGTCAGTAAGTCGTGTATTGCCAAAATTGGTCATACCGTAGAAAGTTTGAGTACCTCTATTCTAAGTATTCTAAAACTAAGTATTTTACTGTGACGTAATGAAGCCAGCAAAATGTTTAATCTCATGAGCTCTGTTTCAAATCCTTCTATAATATAAGGCTTTTTCTCCCCTATCCGATCTGACCGTCTTAGATAACATAAAATGTAAYGATTGAAACTGTTAGGCAGAAATTTCACTTAATCAGTGATGTTCGCACTAATATACTAAAATAATATTTCCATCAAAATAACTATTTATAGATTTTAATAATAATAGTCAGAGAAAACAATAATCATTTTTCTTTTCGGAAAAAAATCCTTTTATCGGGACATT